TTAATGGCGTACTCGTATATGTCTAAGAGTGAGTGGTTAAGTCTTCAAGCTTTGCAGCTATTAAAAAGTCAATCTTCCGAGCTCTCGCTCGCGCACTTTCACCCTCCCATTGGATCTCGCTCCACGCGGCCTCCTCTTTATCGGCAATTATTGACACTGATGCTTGCTGCATCACGTGTCGCGTCGTCAAGTCTTTATGGTGGCAGCATAAAAGTACTAAAAATAAACATTGTAAAGATAGACATAAAGAGGAATAGAAAAAATCAATTGTTGCTGTTGCTCATCAGTGCATTTTTTATATGCTCTCCAGTGTTAATTGGACACGACACTGGCGCCCATCAACTCTAATCCAAGTCCACCGAAGAGCGAATCGTTAATTGTCTACGATTAACCAACACAATCGTAAAAATTCTCTCGGCTAATTTGCAACATTTTTTAGTCAACAAATGCACGTTTTTCATAAAAATATTTATACATACAAACATTCATACATCATATAATATTAAATGGTGTCGTGTGTTTTTGTGTCAGTTTCTTTAGGGCTTCCACATAAACGGATTTTAAATGCAAGATTTCGTCGCCAGTAAATATTTACGGAAGCTTTAATTCAGTATTTTCTACAGCACTGCACACACACATATATATATATATATTTAAACGTATTTATGTCTGTGTATCCACATATTACTTTGTAGGTGCTTTGTTTCTATCTTAAATGCGGTAGAATTTCTGAGGTATTTTTAAAATTAGTGTGGAACTAGCAAGAAGAATTCCATAAATTCTGCTTCAGTCATTTAATTCTGCTTGCTATATTGTATTGATTGTGTAGCTCATCACACCTCGTGGCATGCGTCGAATGATTCAAATGCCTGAAATTCCGACTACTAGTAGTAATTACTAGAAATACATCAATAACAATCAATTCTAATCCAGAGTGAGGGAGTGAGTGAATGTTATTAAAGTAATTGAGAGAATAGATTATTAAAATTATTTTTACTAGTCTCTTTTTCCGTGGGACACGTCTTGCTTTGTGCATCTACACATCACAATACATTTCAACGTTTTCTTCTTAATTACGGAAGTTCGAGGGATTGCATGTTTTCGGGTCAAGATTCTAAAGCAAAATTATTTTAATTATACATTTAAGTGTAACCAAATTGAAATTAGCGAGATGCTCGTATGAGAACACACTAATAATTAATGCCCCCAACATGGTCATTATCACAGCATTTAATTATAATTACGCCTCCGGCTTTTGATTTGCCATAAGCCACACCAAAGCAAAAAAGTAGCAAATTAAAATTCACAGATGTTTGGAATAAGTCGAAAAATCTTAATATTTGCTAAGGCAACGCAATGGTAGACATGAGAGTAAATTTTTTTTATTCGAAAATCCGTATACTATCACATTGCGTTAACATACTTTAGCAAATATGTTTGTCAGCATGTTTATATGTGAGGTGCTCACGAGGCCGGCCTACCAAGTCTTACACATTTCGTGTTATTGAATTTTCTGGCGTCTGATTGCCCCATCTTCATAAAATGTAAAGGTTGCCCTCGTGTGATGCCTTTGATTAATTTCTAGACAGCTTTTACCTCAGGCTTTAATTTGGTTAAGACGTCTCAATTATTCTAGCTGAAAGACCATTAATTATATAATTTGCGAAGAAATCAAACGAGTTTTAGCCTGATGCAATATTCACATTCGCAAGAGGCTACTGCGCTGTAGATACCGCTGGTTGGCTAAATAATCCCGTTCATATAGATGAGAAGTATATTGACTTTAGTTCGAATTTGAAGTACCAGAAAAGAAGAGATTGGCCTTCATATTCGCATATTTTCGCATCACCAGAATGACCGCATACCTCGCTTCCTCAATCGATCAACTACAACACGTGCGGGGTGGCTTACATGCTGAGAGCTACAGAGGGAAGCAATATACTTGAGAAGAGGAAGAAAGACAGAGGCCGAAATGCGAGAGTATGAAAAGCTTGAGAAACTAGGTAATTCTCGAAAACTATTTACAGATGTGGCGACTAACAGAAGGCTTCAAGCCCATAGCATGCTCATATAGGAACCAAGGTGGCAATCTGGTGACCAGAGTCGAAAGTGACAGTGAAAGCGCAATACCCGGAGATGGCGAGCCTGAAAAATTAAACGATTCCTGACTGTGATGAGGTTAGAATAGCTATTACTCCCTTAAAGAACAACAACAAAGCGGTTGGTGGCTAACCGGCCGACCCATATTAAACATAGCGGCGAAGTGCTGACAAGGTGCATGCATTAGCTTCTTTGCAAAACGTGGTCGACTGAAAACATGACCGCCTATTGGCACCTTAATCCTAAATATCCCATTTAAGGTCGTATCCAGTGTATTGTGTGAAAAGCTAAAGCCTACCGTGAACAAGCTAATTGGATCTTATCAATGTAGCTCTGATCTGATAATACACTATTGACTGTCATCGCATTCACGACTTGACTCTCTCATCACTGTTGGCAGAATTCACATCAAAAGTTGTTGTGAGTAGTGTGTTTATGGTAAAACCAGTTAATTTTAATGCGTTGTACTTTTCTACAATAAATATTATTAAAGGTATGGAGACCGAAGGCTTGGCCGAAAACATCACTTTCTTTCTTTCTTCTTGTTTTCTCTATCCAAGCGATACTAATAAATTCACCACGCATTATATACCAGATGAGTGTACATACAGTGATGAACTGAAGTATTGGCACAGCAAGATAGTTGAATTATGAGAGAAAGAAAGAACTAATTTCCCCCAAATAAAAATGTTGGGGTTAGATTAGGCGTTTAGGGCGGATTCGGCAGTGTAGTGTGATCGGTATGCTTCGGATCATTTTCGTGCAGTAATGTAAATGACTCTTGCAATTTAAGTTTTTCGGCACTTTTTTTGGCATTCCTCTCTTGAATTTTCATATAAAATTTTTTGTTCATAATGTCGTCAATGAATTCCAGCCCGCCCACACCTGGAGCGGACATGTAGTCCCATCCAATCTTCCAAACAATCCACCACCATGTTTTATAGTCGCAGAAATGCTCTCTTTTTGAAGTTCAGTGTTAGGTTTTCTCCATACAGTTTGACGCCATCAGATTGAAAGATATTGAAATTACTTTCATCCGAGAAGAATACATTGTCCCAAAAGTCAATTGGTTTGCTTAGGTACTCCTTAGCAAAGGCACGTTTAATTTGGTTCACTTTTGAAACTAGGGGGCTTCGTCTAGCTTCACGCTAATGAATGTTAGCTTCATGCAATGCGGACCGCTATCGGATGAAGATGCTTTCCCAACCCTCCCTAAGATAATCTTGGGTTCCTTTTTGCCTTTCTTACTATTGGGCAGCGTTCGCGGTCATTGTTTTGTAAAGATAAAGCCCCCTATAATCGTTTCACAACGCGTCTTAAGGTGTAGCGGCTCCTGTCTATTATTTCACCTATGCTAATTTTTCTGAAAATTACGCAAAGTCCACTATAATTGAGGGCATTATGATGTTTGCTGTTTATTTTTTAAAAAATAATTGGGACAATACTTTTGTTTGGTGAAAATCAGTAATTTTTTCATTTATAATTAGTATTAATTTAAGATTAAGGATAATCAAATCAATTGAAATGAAAATAGTTGAAAGAGTGTCACTATGCCTAGAATTTTTTTTTCGAATTTAAAAATGTCTTTATAAGTGGATGAAAAAAGTGTTAAAGTTGAACAGTCTTGATGTACCAATACTTTAGTTCATCACTGTATATCTATTTATATTTCCTTGAAGCGTTCTCCACATTTCTCCCGTCTCAAAACGCGCCTACAATCGATGTAAATATTTTTTTAAATGAAATTTTCATTATACATGCTAATATGTGCTTTTACGCAATACGAATTCCACTAAAATGTCATTAAATTTATTACACCAGTCTGTAATTAGCAGCTTAATAAGCAAAGCTTTACGACAGACTTTGGAATCTCTGTGAGGTTGTTACAGAAAAAGCCGTCATTCTACACATGAAAATGCAAACTTCTAGGCGATCTAATGCTTGCTGGAGTCTGCCTTTTTATTAAGTCTGTGTGTGCTACGGGTATGTGTAGCTAAACTAGTTTGATGTTGTTTTTTTTTATTATTATTGCTTTGTGCAATGAGTCAGAAGACTTGACTTGGCGTTTGAAGTAATTAACGCAATTCTCACGCTGTGAGTATATAAAATTACTCAGTTGGCATCTCATTGGTATGCCCAGTAGTCCAACGCTAAGCTGGTGTGTTAAAATTGTAGTTGTATACTAGTATACTTAAGAAGAAATCACACCAGTTACCCAATCGGTAGCATACATCCACCAGCTCACCAATAACGGCAATAAAACACTTACCAGCTTAAGTTCCCTCTGGTAGCATAGCGCGCAGTTTGACATTAACACTCCTCACAACGGCAGAGCCGAATGAAGCACATTTCAAATCTCGCTGATTTCTGATTTTTTACTTTTACGACTAGTATGAAACCAGTATGAAGCTGATGCATAATCGGACAAATTGACATTTGGTTGGGTACTAGTCTCCAAAATAATTGAAAATTAACTAGTTGGCGCAGACTAGCAACGTCTGAACGCACAACTGCGACAACCCAATGCGGGGTAGTTTCATACGAATGTACAGAGGTATGTGAGTGTGTGTATTCATGTGCTGATTTTTTCTTTACTGCCAACCATTTTGTTTTTTCTTCTATAATCGGTGGGACTTTAATTAACTGTTTATTGAATAATCGTAATCAAATGTGGTGAATGCATTTTGCCGTGAATTGGGACGCAAAATATATAAAATAAATCAAAAATGCGAATAGTTGTTTTTTCATATACGTTAAAATGAGCGAAGGTGTCACTAAGAAAAGTTAAAGGCACTAAAATTAGTTAAAATATGTAGAGTACTCTGAGTGCAATGAGCCACGTTAATTACATTTTTCTATTCGCTCTGTTCTAATTAATATTTTTTTCCTTTATGTTTCAGATCAAGGCGAAAAATATTTTGGGACATAAAAATGTAAGTAACAGTATTGGGGCACATTGTTCAAATATACTTATATGATTTTACAGCGATGTCTTTTACCTAAACCATCAATTTTTTTGTAGCTTTGTTTCCACCTGTATCGCCTTTTTCCGTTCTCTTCTGCTTGCGAAGACCAGGATCCACCGAATACTGTACTTATTGAGTGGTCTAAGTATGTTCTGGAATCCTCCTTTTCGTTATGTATATCGCCTTCTTCAGCTGTGTGGTTCACCCAGCAGACAAAGTAATGAAGACCTTCTCAAAACATTTATTTAATGCACTTTTGATTACTGTCTCTTTCTACAAAACTGCTTAAATAAACTTGAACGTACAAGGTCTTGGTCATTTGTAAGAGTGCAAATAAAATCAAGTTCTTTGAAGACTATTCAATTGATATTTCCTTGTATGATGAATTTATCAATTTCTGCTAGAAATATTTTCTAAATTTTTTTTTTTTTTTTGAACAATTAATTACTTCCATCAAGAGACGACTAGGCACAAACAGTGTACTCACCTGAAGGTCAACAATGACCCGAAGTAGAAAGCTTTCAATGCCGGCCCGGCAACAGACCCAAGCAACCGACCAGCACGAAAGTGCAGAGCATACCGTGATTGCGGTCACTAGAAAATACTTGGCCAGCAAAGTGGTCTTCTAGTCGTCATCGTCGTGACTTGCTTGGACTTGACTTAAGTGAGTGTTTTCCGTCAATTGGCAATTATTTGCAAATTCATTGAATTTTATTTTGAAAATTAACCGTTTTGATTTTTTAAGCCAACTCGTTGAGATGGGCCGGCTTGGCTGTGGCTTTGACGCTTAGCTTCAAAGTGAAATATTGCGTCACCTTTGCACCGAAAATAACTTTGATGCCGCCAATGAGCCATTTGCTTGTTAGTTTTTTTTTTGTTTTTTGTTTTCTACTTATTATTAACAGGTTTTTCGCACTGCGAAATTGATTGATCTTCATGTGGTGGCTTTACACTATTTTTGCTTGCGGTTGATTGCTGGTTTGTGGTTAGGGGTATTTGGTTGGGTGCTTCAGTGTCACGCTTTTTTTATTAGAAATTGCTTAAATTGAATGATTTTTTAGAAGAAATTGAGGGCAAAGTAAAAATTAGCAGAAGAATCGAGATATTTGCAACCCACTAAGCGGCTTTTATTTTAAACGACGTCAAAGGCAAACAGATTAATTCGGAACCGGTCATTTAATCTTGCATCAGGAGAATCACACAAATCGCGCAAGTTCATAAGTCACCGAGAAAACTCTATATTTGCTTATATGAAAGGCTGCAACACTATACGCGTATGGACATATGTACATATGTATGTATGTATATACAATACAAACAAGCAAATACTTTTCCTACACTATTCTAGTACTGCACATAGCTTCTGCTTGACTCGCTGCCACACTGACCTCAAAATTGACATGTATGAATGCATGTATATATGTAAGTATGTATATGAATATATGCGAAATGCTGTACGGCATTAGCGTCACTGCTGTTGACTTGCTGGCTGTAATAAATAGTGAAGAAAAATTGTCCAAAAAGTCCACAGTAACTGAAATAAATAAAACAAGCAATAATATGAAAATAAAATGGAAAATAACAGCAACAACACGACTAACTGAAGACGACGATCATCAGCAACACATGAAAGTGGAATTTCTCGTTGAACACGCCACACGACAACGACAGCGACGACACCTTCAAGCATGCCACATGCAACGCCATCAAACACACAAACGTATCAGAGACAAAAATGGCAGATTTGTGCTTGATGCTGGAAATATAGACACACGCAAATATACATACCACAGCTTTATAGTAGTGTTTGCTGCATGGCCTGAAGTAACATACACACATACATACGAGTATGTGCATGGCAGGGTCTAAGAGCGTGGAAAGCGCGTTTTCGTCGTCAGACTTTCAGTCATGCCAACAGCGTGATTGAAAACACATTCTAATTATAGCCAGCAAATACATACACACATGCATACGTTTATTCACACACACAATCACCCAGCTTCTTGTTGTCGCTGGTCGGCTTCAGAGGCATGCAATAGGTTGTGTCGTTTGGCCTCTTTTTTCCTATAAATGAATTTGATAATGTAATTACATATATGTATGTAAATACCCCTACATAACACATCGCATGTTTCATAGTGTTATTAATCTCTACATTTAGGAGCAGTGTAAAACTAGAACTTGGAAAAGCAAAATAAAATTAATAGCTCTGAAGAAAATTGTAAGTAAAACATGTGATAAAATATTGGACAAAATTTGTTTTTTAGCGCTGACCTAAATTTATTTAAATTTTTTGTATGTTTCTTTATGTGCGATGCTTGAATCGCAACCGAAATAGAGCAGCCCCCTATGCATTCTATTGAAAATTACACATTTCATGTGCCACATATGCACCTCCAGCTGCGAGGTTTGCATGAGATTAGAGCATTTCCGCTTCTCCATCAAATGCCATTCGTCAATGTCATATTTTCACTTATTTATTTCAAAAGTATTGAGTTTCCACTGGTACAATTTTTAATTGAACATTTGAGAACCACAAACAATGATTAACTGGAAAAGATAATCTTGGGTATCCCTACCTAGCGTCGACCGTATGTAAAAGTGCATGTAGCACACTACCACCCAATCGGAGTGCTTAGCAGAGAAATCCACGGTATCATGAAAAAAATGTAATATTTGGCCATGATGGCCACCACTTTGTTTTTTCCGCCCCTCAAAGCGAATATAATGAAATTAATCTTAAAATTAACATTTCATGCCCCAGAAAATGGAAGCTTGAAAGCCCAACCCTAAGCCTCGAAAAGACTAATGAAAGTTATGCATGTGTCCGAAAATATTTACAACTCATTCACATTGCCATTCGCGCTCGTCATTTTAACAACAATAACAACAACAATTACTTTGCATATTTATTACAAAGCGAGGAAAATATTTAACCATTTTCTGCGCCTAATGAAAGTTGATACAAAGTGAAATGAATTCATGCAGCCATACACACACACACAAACAAATGACCGGACTGAAAAGGTCGGTTTTTGGTTGAAATACTCCTTCGTTTATTAACGAAATCTCCATTCAGGTCCCCACTTTCCTTCCCGTTTCAGGTTCAGTTTCAGCAACAACATCCTCAACAGATTTCCAGTGTTTTTTTTTTATAAATTTTGTACCTTCAAACGCTCTACATCCAATCGGAAACACTTCAGTTTTCGAGCACTCAAAAAATGTTGTGCAGATTTCTATTTCTTTTTGGTATTGCGGGACATCCACTGCGCTCACGTCATCGGCGTCTGTACATCAATATTGAAATCAACGTTCCAACGTTTTATTGTTGCTTCTAATGTAGCTGATTCCCTATAACTCTTTTCCTGCCATACTTTTGCTCGAACGGGATATCTTCCATCAAAAAATTAAAATCCTAAACTGTTTTTAATCCATTTATTTTGAAAGAGTAAAAGTGTTTTTACTCTTAGCACAAAGCTTGCAATCCTATGAGCAGAATATCCTGAATCCATTTCAGCCAGGGTTACTCAAACAACCTCATAAAGCACACCTACACATGCACAGTCATAAGAAACGTTTTCCATTAGACTTTTCAACTTTACTCTTTTTTTTATGTTTTGGGAAAACTGAAACTATTTTGCCTGGCAAAATCTTAGCAGTTCCGTTAACCGTTTACTGTTTCACTTTTATTTCATTTCTCTGTTTTTCATAAAGTTGTTATTCCATTTTATTGCTTTTGAAAGTGTATAACTGTTTTCAACGCTTGCTTATACGCTTACCCTTGTAAACAAGTATGTGCAGCAAGTGCAAAAAACCGTTCTATCTCGTTACAGAGAAAAGCAAATTTTATAATTTTATTTTAAAAATTTGAATTAAAAAAACTTTTTGATATTTGACTGTTTGGAATTAATGTTTGGAAAAAGATATTTAGAATTCCGCAAAGAAAAAATACAATTACTGTTGTTGACATTTTTTTTTTAAATTACCGTTAATATGTAAAAAAAAACAAAAACAATTTGAAATTGTGCCAAACTCCAGTTGATTCTTTGTGAGAAGCCGCACAAATGTTGCTTTTCCTTTTGGTGAATTGAGATTCGGCAATTTTTTTCTTCAAAATTCAAAATTGTGAGAAAATCTGGAACAACAATTGACAAAGCCGTATTTTAAATACAGCTTAGAATTTTAAGTATCGTTTGAACTTTCTTATTATGTTCTTGCCGTTTCCCCATGCACTCTTTGCACACACTTTGGTAAGCGGGAAATTCCACCCATTTATTTGGCTAAAGTGATTAAATGCAAAATTGTGTAAAATACATTTCAAATGATACGCAAAATACAGTTAGGCGCAACTGTTCCATCTACAAAGAATTGCAGAAAATTAAAAATGAGCAACAAAAAATTACGAAGAACAATAAGAACGGGAAAATGAAATTATTTGCGTTGTGGGAACTGAACTTAATACTTTGCGCGGAACACCCACGCAACTATTGTTCGCAGTTAGTCTACTCTTCGTGTAAGATGTTTGTATGAGTATGCGTGCGATATCGTCATGGGAATGGTTTTGCTACAATCAGATATCTGCTTAACATCTGCCCGTCAGTAAATAGCAGACATTCAACTGTCCGGCAATAACATAATAATTTTATTACTTTTTTACTGTCAGTTGATATTTGATCTCGGTTGTAGCGACTAATTGCCTTGCAGTTCGCTGAGATCAGTGCAAACCTGTTCGGTTGCTGATCGATCGGGTGTCAGAATATACAATAATATTATCATTCTCAAAGGTAAGCGTAGAGTGAAAAAAATGTTAAAGTTTTATGTGAAAATCAGACTTTTTATGCCCAAGATTTATTACCTTTTAGCAGCTACACTCAACTTTAAATATTCAAGCTCGATCTAAGAATATATATGTATTAAAACTCATAGATGCATTCAGCCATGCCTTCTAGTTCGAAGAGCTGCTTAAA